AGCCGCCTCCCCTTGGGCGCCGTGGCCTGCCGCTCACCATGTTTCCGGAAGCGAGGAGGAGAGATGGCGAGGAGAGCCAGAGAACAGGACGGCGCCGCCGCTGCTGCCGGGACCCGACTGAACGCGGCCTCTCCCGGCCCCTTCCGTTTAGTAGGAGCCGCACAATGAGGGGCGGGGCGGGCTTCCGGCGCCCGCTCCGCTGGCCGACGGGATATGGAGTCCGAGGGGTCTGCGCCGTCGGCGGGCTCTCAGGGGCACGGCGTCTCGACGGCTGGTCGCGCAGCTCCGCGTTGCATGCCGGGAAGTGTAGGCCGAGGCCACCGGGGCGGGGCCGCCGCACGGAGCACGAGCCCATTGGTCGGATTTCCCAGGGCCCGCTCTCCGCCTGAGCCATAGGCCCCGGAGCTGGGCGAAATGACCCGAAAGCGATCCCCGACTGACAGGCTCTTTATCCCAGGGCGAAACGGTTTTCCTAAGGCCTGTCTGGTATTTTCTAGATCCCTGGGTCTGCAATTTTTGAGCGGGGTTAGGATTTTGCGTTTCTGGAGCGAAGCAACTGCTCACTGGCCTGGAATTCTAAAGCGAGGAGAATCGGAAGTATAAATCCGTCTTCAAGTCAATAAACATTGAGTACTCTCCCTGTGCAAAGCCACTCTTTTCTCCTGAAAAAAGGCCATGCAACGTCAGTGAAACAAGTGTTCCTATAAGGCACGCGAAAGGCTGCTAGGGAATTTTTGGAAGGAGAGCTTTGTTCTTGTTGAAAGATGTCTGGCAAATTCATGAAGCAATAAAGGGAATGGGCCACCGGGGCTTGTGCATTCAATCCAAGGCTTGCTTATATGCCTCTTACCAGGCAGTGAGAAGCGGAAATGGATATAAACCTAGACTTTAACCTAGTTCACGAGTTGATAGCCCGGCATGTGGTTATTCTAACACCCCCCGAAATTGAGACATAAGCTTTTTGAGAGCATAAGCCTTAAAAAAAAGATACGGGTGAGGGACCCCGGGATGACTTTGTCGCCCAAGAACAATGACCATAGCCTCATTTTCTGCAGGAAGAGAATACAGGGTCGCAGACAAGTCAGAGGCAAAACCAGAAACGGATCTGAGGACCCCAAACCCATAAGCGGAATAAGGGGTGTAAACTGAGAGCGGTGCACGGGAGTAGGGTACCTCGCAGAGCATGCCGGGGGTTGTAGTCGGGGACCTCCCACCGCACCGCCCACCAGCCGAGCTCCTGGGCGCTCCAGGTGGAGGCTACAGCTTGACCTCCGCCTCCCCGCAAGCGCCCCGGCACGAAGAGGAGGCTAGCTCCACCTCTTTCGAGCCTTAGAGTATCCAAGAGCAACGAGGAGGGGGAAGGGGGCTTCGCAGTTACCCTGGAGACGCGCTCCTACCCGCCCCCAACTGCGGGATGCCCTAGATGTCCATATTAGGACAAGAGACTAGAGAGGGCGGGGCCAGCCCGAACGCTGGCTTCAGGCTCCTTATAAGGATGCGTCGGGCGGGCGGCGGGAGTCAGTTGCGGGCCAGGGCTGCAGCACCATAGCCTGGGCGGAGTCTTGGGGGGCGGGCATGCAGCTCGGGCGCCCGCCTCTCCCTCCTCATAGGCTTGCACTTCGCGACTTCCGTTATAACAACTAGAGGCCTGGGACTGTGCCAACTCCCGTGCCCAACTCAGCTATACGCCTCTCCACTTGGGGCCCTTATGCAGGGTTTTCGTCTTCAGCCATCTCTTACGTGCAGCTAGCCACAAAAACGACGAAGTGTCCTCCCCTTCTACCTCTGCCTGGGCTTCTTACACTCAGCTTGCTCCCCTGGCCTTTGCACCTGCCAGGATGCCCAGCGCCTCTTCCAGCCCTCCTTCTACTTGGCCTCTGCCCCCTCCCCCAGTCCTACTTGGGCCTTCTCTGCCCGTTCCCAGCTTCGCCTCCTCACGCATACTACGCTCAGGATCACCATTTCTTCCGAGGGTCCTTCGGCTCCCGCTTTGCCTTTGTGTCTTCATCCCCTGCACCTCTTCCTGGGGGTCCCTCCCACAGATATTATTGCACTCGCTTGCCCTCCAGCCCCCGCCTCTCCTGCATCCTTCTCAAGCCCAGGCTCGATGGTCTCCAGCCGCCCCTGCCAGGACGAGGCTGAAACTGACAGTCTTAGAGACCTCAGAGCAGCCGAAGCGCAGGTTACTCCGCTAAGCGCCGCTCCAGCCATTCCTCCCAGCCACAGGGGGCGCTGTCCGTCATCCCCTCACCTGCACAGAGATGACTCCGCTCTCGAATCTGGAGGGAGAGGAAGGGGCGGGCCGCGGCTCGGGGATGTGGGTGGGGCGCGGCCCCCAGGCTGGTCCCGGCCGGAGGGGGCGGGGGCCGAGACGCAAGATCGGTAGAGATGGCGCTCAGCTCTAACCACTTAGAGTAGCGCAGGGGCGGGGAGGGCGGCGGGAGGCTATCGCCTGGTTAGTGTCCCGTGCGGTCACGTGATCGGAGAGGTTCCGCCCTCCCCCTCCCTCCCGCTCCCTGCCTCTCCCCCCCCACCCGAGCCAGGTGTTCGAATCCCGACCCCTAAACGAGCGGCGTCCAAGTCCCGCGAGCGTGGGGCGCCGGGGGACCCGCCCCGGGGCTCATGGCGGCGCCGATCCGCTTGGGCCGGAAGCGCCCGCTGCCGGTTTGCCCCAACCCGCTCTTCGTGCGCTGGCTGACCGAGTGGCGGGACGAGGCGGCCAGCAGGGGGCGCCGCACGCGCTTCGTGTTTCAGAAGGTGGGTCCCGGCCGGGTCCGACGGGCACCGGCGCCGATCGAGCCTGCCCTGACCCGGCGCCTTCCCGCCCCCGCCAGGCGCTGCGCTCCCTCCGGCGGTACCCGCTGCCTCTGCGCAACGGGAAGGAAGCGAAGATCCTGCAGCACTTTGGAGACGGGCTCTGCCGGATGCTGGACGAACGGCTGCAGCGGCACCGGGCGTCTGCGGGTGAGCACCTGCCTCCCCGGGTGCGGCCTCCGGGCCCACCTGGGAAACCCTGGCTTCAGGCCCCCCACTCTTGTCCCCGCTGCTGGCGGCCGGCGGTCCCGAGCCTACTCCGAGAAGGAACGGGCTGCATGCCAGGCCCTCAGAGCTGCTGGGTTCGGCGGGGTGCGGAGCTGACGCTTATCTGCTCCCGCAGGGGACCATGCCCCGGGCTCACCCTCTGGAGAGAAGAGTCCTGCCCAGGAGGGGCCACCTGCCGAAGTCCAGGACCCTTCCGGGCCAGTGAGGAAGGGACAAGGGGAGCGTTGGGCAAAGTGGGAGTGCCCGCAGCGGGGTTTCCTGGCTTGGGAGATAGGCCTGGGTCCAAGTCTCACCGTGATGCCTGGCCTTGGGCGAATGACTTATCTGGGAACATTGATAACAGCTGGGGAGAGAATCTCACAAGCTATTTAGGAAGCGCAGCCCAGTGCGTTGCTGGGTGGTTGTTTTTAGTTTTCTTGTCTAATCACACTGTCCTGCAGTGGATAGTAGAACTGAGCCCCGGCGGGGCAGATACCCCCAACTCTTGCCCTGCAACTATCCACTCTCAACCCAGGTCCACGGGGGGGTGGGGGTGGGGGTCATCCCATCACCTGGCTCATTTTACAGATGCAGAAACTGAGAGGCACCTGAGTGGCTTCCCCAGGGCTGTGCAGTCTGCTGAAACCTCAGCCTTGCTGGGAATTTACTCGAAGATGACTGGCTGGCTTTCATTCAGTGCTCCTCTCTACCTTTCAGGTGCTGGTCCAGCCCACAGCGGGAGGCTCTGGCAGCTACTGGCCGGCTCGGCATTCAGGAGCCCGAGCGATACTGCTGCTGTTCTACCGTGAGCACCTGGTGAGGGCCAGTCTACACTGGGACTCGGGAACTGAGGCTGTGGAGAGGCAGGTTCCTGGAGGAACCTGGCCTGGGCAAGGCAGGCAAAGATTATCTCAGGCAGGGTGTGGTGGCTTATGTCTGTAATCCCAACACTTTGGAAGGCTGAGGCGGGAGGATTGCTTGAACCCAGGAGTTGGAGACCAGCCTGGGTAGCCAGACCTTGTCTTTACAATAAAATCAAAAATTTAGCTGGGTGTGGTGGCGTGCACCTGTAGTCCCAGCTACTCAAGAGACTGAGGCAGTGAGATCGCCTGGTCCCAGGAGGTCAAGGCTGCAGTGAGCCATGATTGTGCTACACTGCATTTCAACCTGGACAACAGAGTGAGACCATGACTCAAAAAAAAAAAAAAACAAAACTGGCCGGGCTCTGTGGCTCAGCTTGTAATCCCAGCACTTTGGGAGGCCGAAGTGAGTGGATTCCCTGAGCCCACGGGTTTGAGACCAGCCCAGGCAACTCGGTGGGACCTCATCTCTATAGTTAAAAGCAAAAAACAAAACCTTTTCCTGGTAGGGCAAGGAGGGGCCCGAACACTGAACCTACCCTGTTTCTTCTTGGTTTTAGAATCCTAATGGCCACAACTTCTTCACCAGAGAGGAACTGCTCCAGAGGTGTGCTCAGAAGGCCCCCAGGGTTAGCACAGTGGAGCCCACCAGAGACTACCCTTTCTGGCAGCGAACTGTGGTGTGGGTCCTGGCCTGTGTGTGGCCTGTGGCTGGGAGCATAGGGAATGAGGGCTTGTGGTAGCACTAGAAGCTCTCTGAGGGTCTCCTCCCTTGTTGACAGGTAGCCCCTGGGAGTGCTCGACCCTGGCCAGCCCTCCGCTCCCTCCTCCACAGGAACTTAGTCCTCAGGACACACCAGCCAGCCAGGTAGGGCCAATGGCAAGGGGTTCAGAAGGCAGGAATGGGGCAGCGTGCATGACATTCCTAGCAGGGCCCTGCAGTCTCCCAGCAGTCCCCAAACCTGATGCCACTGAGGTTGGAGAAGGAGGGTCTTCCCTCAGGAGGCCACACTGTACCAGAAGGATGTGAGAGATGGGGTGGGGGTGGGGTTGCCATGGTTACTGGGGGAGCAGAAAGCCTTTGGAGGAGATGGCATTGGACACATTTTAGGACTTGGCAGGTAGAGATGCAGGAAAGGTATTCCAGTGGGGAGGAAAGAGCGTGAGTGAAGCCAGAAGGAGGCAAAACTTGTCTGAGACACACACGCAGCAGACCTGAGAAATGGCGCTGGGCAGGTCCCCAGGAAGCTGATTTGAGGGCCAAGAGGGTGGGGAGGAGAGGGGAGCCACTGGGTTCGCCAGTGCAGAGTTGTCAAAGGGGAGGCAAGGCCAGCCTAGCAGGGGGCAGCAGGATGTGACTGAGGGTGCGACTGAGGAAGATGTTTGTCCCCTTCACCCCCCAGGTACTCACTGACCCCGCAGGGTCTGGAGCTGGCCCAGAAGTTGGCCGAGTCAGAAGGCCTGAGCTCGCTGGATATGGGCACCGGGCCCAATGAGCCTCCCGGGGAGGAGCCAGCTGTGCCAGGAGCAGCTTCAGCTGAGCTGTGAGGAGGAGGGAGGATGGGGGAGGACGGCAGGAGGGGGCTGGGAAGTGAAGCCAACACCCCACCCCATCTCCATCAGCTGAGTTGGGGCTGCCACCCATTCTGTGGGTTGCAGGGGGCAAGGAGGTGGGGACACTGTCCTGGCACTGGGGGTTTCGGCCTCTCACATACCACCCCCCCCTTAGTGGCGCCAGTGAAGGGGGCGTCCAGCAGCCAACGTTGGAACTGCAGCCTGGAGAGTTCAAGGTGCTGTTGTGTGTGGACATCGGCGAGACCAGAGGGTGAGTGAGATGGGGGAAGGGGAAAGACGATCAGAGGATGCTGTGGGCTGGGTACTAGCCTGCCCTGACCCAAGCCTCCCTCTCTGCAACTCCAGGGCGGGGCATAGGCCAGAGCTGCTCCGAGAGCTACAGCGGCTGTGTGTGACCCACACGGTGCGCAAGCTGCATGTTGGGGACTTCGTGTGGGTGGCACAGGAGACCAGGCCCAGAGACCCAGGTACAGAGCCAGAGGTGGGCAGGCGTCAGGGGTGGGGCCTGGTGGGTGGGGAATGCAGCCAGCAGGACCCTCTGGCTTCTCGGCAGGGAGGCCTGTGGAGCTGGTCCTGGACCACATTGTGGAGCGCAAGCGGCTGGACGATCTGTGTAGCAGCATCATTGATGGCCGCTTCCGGGAGCAGAAGGTGACTCCACTGACCTTGCCTTGCTTCTCCCTACCTGCCCACTCTAAGGTCTCTTTCTGAGTCCAGCACTTGTGGTGGCCTCCTCGAGGCGGAGTCCCCGTGGACTCCAGCCACACGCCCACTGCAGCCGCTCCAGGGTGTCCCAGGATTGGACCCCCTCATGTCCATCTGGGCACATAGTAGGAACGCAGGGCATCTGGGTTGCCCTTAGGAGCTCTTTAAAGACCACCTGGTAGCCGGGCTCGGTGGCTCAGCCTGTAATCCCGCTCCTTTGGGAGGCTGAGGTGAGTGGATTGCCTGAGCCCGCGGGTTTGAGACCCACCTGGGCAGCGGGACCTCATCTCTACAATAAATGAAAAAATCAGCCAGGCGTGGTAGCACATGCCTGTAATTCCGGCTACTTGGAAGGCTGAGG